CTGCTGAGGTTTTTAAAAGTTCGGTTAAATATTTTTGAAGGGGAAAAAAACCCCAGGTTGTATATCTTTGTACTTAAGCCCGAGATAAGACCACAGGAAAAGCTGTTCTCAAGGCACTTCCTACTCAAACACAACCAAAAAGTGTTAGAAGTCTCCACAGAAACCTCATCCTGAAGCAAGTTTTCAGAGAGAGTTCCTCATCCTTTGCTTGCAGAGACTCTGATCTCTGGTCATCTCTCAGACATTCTACTAAATTCCCAGTCTCATTATTTGCATTTCTCTGTTTCAGAGGGATACTGCTCCACCTTTATTACCATTGCTCTGGTATTTCACTGCACTTACAAGTTTGGGAACAAGAACTCCACACAAGGTTAATATGAAACTAATTGCTATTAGACCTAAACAAAGCAGGCACAGCAGCAACTGCAGACCTGGATGGAAACAAAAGCAAATGCATTCTTCTCCCACTCCTGGAGAACGCTCTAGTTCATTTAGCCTAATTTTGAAACAAAATATTACTGGTCATTACTGCATAAAACTCCTTTAAAGCCTGAATGACAAGGCCTTTGGCTTATAATTCCTTTTGGGTTATAATACTTTGTAAACATAAATACTCAATTCAAATTCAATCTGGTCTGAGTTCATCCCCCAAATGTTTTTCTTTTTTTTCTTTATTTGGTTTACATCTCAAGCTAAAACACTGCTGTTGCGCTGAATCCCTCTGTCCACCTTCTCTGCAGGGAGATGAAATCATAGCTTTGAAAATTAAACTCTTAACAACTAACAGGTGATGTGTTGACACAAGGCCAGTTTCTGAACATGCAAGTTCCAGAAGGAACAAGTCAGGGGTTTCTACAAAATTCTGAAGCCTCTCCTCAAAAGAAAATTGAGAGCAATATCCAGAAATCAAAAGAAAAATGATGCTGATACAATTCCTCTGAGAAAATACGTATTTGCTACAAAGCCAACTACATGACAAGGAGTCTGTTTATTGTAGTTTAAATTAATCACCCTTCCATCAGAATTTTATTGACTTCAGAATCATTTTACATGATTCCAGAAGGTTTTAACCCAATCAACCCCAATCAACCAAGACTGTTAAGGGTTTCCTGCATTCTTTTCTCTGTGTATTCCAC